AGTGTGATCTTGGCTCACTGCAACCTCTGCCTCCCAGGTTCAAGGGATTTTCCTGCCTTAGCCTCCCGAGTAGCTGGAACTACAAGCACCCACCACCACACCCAGCTAATTTCTGTATTTTTAGTAGAGACGGGGCTTCACCATGTTGGCCAGGATGGTCTCAATCACTTGACTCATTATCCGCCTGCCTTAGGCTCACAAAGTGCTGGGATTACAGGCATGAACCACCGCACCTGACCTTGCATCTTTTTTTGTTTGTTGATAAGGCAGTAGGGGATGTCACTGGAAACAACAACTTTGCCATTAAAGATAATACAAGATTAAAAAAAAAAACTGCTACCATTTATTTGAGGCCATAAGCACGTGGAAAGCTACACTGAATCCAGGGTAATTATTTTGCCTCCCGTTGACACTAGCCATAAGCCGAGCAGATAGGTTTGCATGCTAGTTTTAACCCTGTGTTTCTGGGGTGCTGGGTTTCTCCTGGGAATAAATGGTGGTAGTCATTTCAAGGATGAAACTTAAAACAAGGTGGACAGTTGAACAACATGTAATGGCCCATTTTGAAATAAAACAGTTAATTGCTGAGCTTTCTGGATTTAGGCTTGTCAAGCAACTCATTTTCTTTTTTAATGCTCGTGACTGGTCTTGTCAGAAGAGGTCACCTGTGGATCCAGTTAATGCTTCAGTGTGGGGAGAGTCACCACCCAAAGCCTAGTAGTCGCTGCAGTACTTAACTGAAATGCTGATGAAAGGGTCACTTTCTGCCTGGATTCAAGCAGATTCTATTGATTAAAATGTCCAAATGCACATCCCACGTCTATATGAGGGAAGTTATGAAACCCTTTTTAGGAAATATCTGCTTCCTAGTGGAAGAAGAAAGTAGGATTTAATGTTTCAAGCATAGGCTCTGAATTTCAGGCCATGTATCAGTCAGAGGAAACTTATTGACAGCAATAACAGGGCCTTAAGGAGACTTCTTTTCTCCAGATGAAGAGTGATTAAGCCAGGTAGCCCTCAGATTCTTTGAGTTGGGAAAATGAGTTTAAATAAGTAGAGTTCTGGGAATGCCCCTAGGACAATGATTAATGTACTTACTTCAGAAAACCCACAGACCTTTATAGCTCCTTTGCTTTCTTTCTATCTCCTCCCTCTTGTCCTTCCTGCCTTTCCTCCTAACTTCTTTCCGTTTCTTTAGTCTTTCCTTCATTCCTTCCTTCTTTCATTTCACATTTGACTGTCTGTTATAGACCAGGAACTATACTATGAATAGGAAGTGTGTAAAGAGAAGACCTTCCAGTAGCTTCATTGAGTATCTCTGTGTGTGTTCTTTTGTATTTGGGTGTTTGTGTGTCTCTCTTGGGGGAAGGGGATGCCTTCACATTGGAAAAACACAAAAATAATTCTTTATAACAAACTCTGATAAAGATCTTACAGGATTTATAACAAACACTTGCTGACAGGAGGAAAAGGCTTTCCCTGTTGTAAATGAGGCATATTTAACAGAGCAAGTGAATTTTCAGTTGTGTCTTAAACTACGATTCAGGGGTTAGGTGAAGCTGGAGAAGAGCATCTTAAGCTGAAGGCAGAAGCTTACAGAGGCTCACGGGGTTGGGGGGAGGAATTGAATGTGGCACTTTCAGGCAATGGCAACATCTTTCAGTGTGGCAGGAGATAAGGCAGCAAAAGTGAGATGGACCCAGTCTGTGTAGGGTCATGGATACCACACTAAGCTCTGGAGGGGTAAGTACTTTTGTTTTGTTTTGTTTTGGAGACGGAGTCTCACTCGGTCGCCCAGGCTGGAGTGCAGTGTTGCGATCTCGGCTCACTGCAAGCTCCGCCTCCTGGGTTCACGCCATTCTCCTGCCTCAGCCTCCAGGGTAGCTGGGACTACAGGTGCCCGCCACTACACCTGGCTAATTGTTTGTATTTTTAGTAGAGATGGGATTTCCCCATGTTAGCCAGGATGGTCTCGATCACCTGACCTCATGATCCACCCGCCTCGGCCTCCCAAAGTGCTGGGATCATAGGCGTGAGTCACCAGGCTTGGCTTGGCCCTGGATAAGTAGTTTTAACATTTGCATTTTCTAGCCTTGATTGAGTGGCTGGGCTGAGTGGCTGGGGACCAGTTTGGAGGCATTTTGCTGTTTTCTGTGTTGAAATGGAATGAATTAAAGTTCTGCAAAGCCTGATTTTTTTTTTTTTTTTAAGTGCAGATGTTCCCAAGTCTAATTAATCTCATTGTATAAAAATCGTAGAGATAAAGCGTGATTGCCCATATTATTTATGTTACAGAATAATAATTATTTTCTATTTAATATAGCTTACTGCAAGATTACACAAAATAATATGTGTCTCCAAGGCATTTTAAATAAGCTTTTATTTTGCTTACACGTACAGTTTCAGGCACGTTTCAGAAAGTGAAGTGCATCTATTTCTCTTCACACGGGTTCGACAATACAGAGAATCATCACTGCTGTAACTGCTGCTGCATGGGTTGCGTCACAGGGTTTGTTCACAGGGCAGTAGTAGGTGGTTTGGCAAATTTCAGTGAAAAAATTAATTAGATCAGTGTACTATGGATATTATTGTTCAAGTCACCCAGCTGAAGCACCATGCCTGGCATCTGCCTCATAAGGTTTGAAAGTTGAATACACTGTCATTGGGGTTGTTGCTAGAGTACACACGCAGCATGTGTAGGACCTGTATGCAAGTCCCAGCTAATAACACACAACATCCTTGCTAGAATGCAGCCTGCCTTTCATCAAGTGAAGTTTGCATTATCATTTTTATTTTAAGTGGAAATTTTACGGTCAGGCTGTATAAATAAATTGAGTAGATATATTCTAAAGATTGTGGGTTTAGATGCCTGTGGATATTAGTAGTCTGGGGCTCTGCCGAGTTCCTCTAAGGCACATGTGAAGTCGTTAATATGGATGTTTCTTTTCATGTTTCCCCATTTTTTTAGGTCTGTGATGGGGTCAAACAAAGAACCAGACCTTGTGCATCTTGAGGCCAGAACTGTGGATGGTCGTAAGTAAATCAACTTTGCCACAATATTCTTAGTCATAGTAGTTCTATGACTCTGTCATGGACTGAGTCTGTGTGGTGATCTCATGGTGTATGCAGAGTAATAGTGGATGTGTGGTTTCTGGGGATTTGGGGTTGCAGGGGTGACCTGCTTCTTTTGACTCTAAGCTAGTAAAGTGCAGGTATCTTTTGTTCAGAAGAGCTAAGGATAGGTAGGTAGGTACAGTTGCACAGTGGCAATAATCGTGTGATTTGGGCATGAAGACATTTCCTGTCTTCAGTAATGCAAAATAGTCTTAATAGTTTTTCATAAATATATATTTTCATATATATTTATAAATATATAGGTTATCTAGAAATATGTATATTTGGATAGTGGTGACACCAGCAGAGCCCTCTCATCCAATCAAAGTGTCTTTCCAGGTAAAGAGAATACCTCCAAACTCTTGATTCCTGAAGTGTTTTGTTGTTGTTGCTGCTGCTGCTGTTTTGTGTTGAATTGTTTCTTCAGTCTCCTTATTTTGTCAGATACCATCCAGGCCATCCCTCACTGTCTTGTTCGGAGATTCACAAAACACTTGGAAAGAATTTTGAAAAAGAGAGAGAGAGAGAATTTTTCTGTGTGTCCCTATCAGAGGCAGCAGGAGGAGAGTCAGTTGAGTGAATTGCTCACCCGTCAGTAGTTCTCATCACCTCCGGGTGGTTATGCTGCAGTGAAGGACAGGACTACACCTTTTGGCCTCATGACAATGTTGTAGGTTGTTTTCTTCATTTCACATATGAAGAAACAAAGGCATAGAAAGCTTAAGTAATAATAAACGTAAGCTCCTATGGTAAATAAGTAGAGGACAGTGATGTCTATCTCACAAAGCCCATCCAGGTGCGAATTCGAGAAATCCATGCACATAAAATACTTCACACAGTGCCTGACCTACTAACACCAGTGATGAATGTTTCCTTCCCCTTCTCTGGCACGGAGGATCCTCAGAAGGGCTAAGCATTTGAGAGGGTACCGCTAGACCTAGGATAGAGCGCTCCAGGTGAGAGGGGTAAAAGAAAATGAGAAAAGGGGGAAACTGTAGATAGAAGAGGGTGGGGGAAGAAAAGATGGGGAGAAAGAAAGAGGTCTCAGATGTAGAGGAGAGGAGGAGAATGGACTATCCACAATTACCACAGAGCAATGAGGCTGGTGTAGGCTGCCCAGCGCTGGCCCAAAGAGGGATCATCTCATTTCCAAGACATTCCCAGTTTCTAAAATATCCCTTACAATTCAAAAGCACCCTAATCACTGCCATTTGTGCCTGTCTACCAGTCGTTAGCTCTTCTGAACACAAAGGCAGAAGATCCTGCACTTTACCAGCTTACAGCCAAACAAAGCAGGTCACCCCTACAACCCAAACTCCCCAGAAACCACACATTTTTTTTCTATTACTATACATGTACCGTGAGATTTCTCATCTCTAACAGTTTTGTTTACCTTTTTGGGGGGAGTGAATATATTTTTTGACAGAGTCAGTAGGGGCACAGGTCAGGGGTTAAGACTGACCATCCTCCTCTGTAACTCAGGCAAAGCTGCCATGTGTGACATGCCCAGCACTGTGCCTGACACAGAATGAGCTCAACAGGTCAGAGCGGCTTTCCCACCTCCTCAGTGGGCTCACTCTGGTGGTGACCTCTCCGTTTCCCTGGAGCAGATGATGTTATCTTGGACTCCAAGGTCCAGTTCTTACTACATAACAGAGACCAATATTTTATTAATGCAAAAGTAAATGCATCATTGTTTAAAAGTCTTGCTTACTAGAGATAGAGACCATCCTGGCCAACATGATGAGACCCCATCTCTACTGAAAATACAAAAATTAGCTGGCTGTGGTGGTACACGCCTGTTGTCCCAGCTACTTGGGAGGCGGAGGCAGGAGACTCACGCGAACGCGGGGGGCGGAGGTTGCAGTGTGCAGTGAGCTGAGATTGCGCCACTGCACTCTAGCTTGGCGACAGAGCAAGACTCCATCTCAAAAAAAAAAATAGGTCTTGCTGACTTCCCATTGCTTTGATCATACAGAGTTAAATTCTCATCTTGACCTATAGCTCCAACATAACCTGTGCCTGCCCATTCCCTTAGCCTAATTTTACTCTGCCCTTTCCTTGCTCCTTGTCTGCAGGCCTTTAGGCGTGTTGTCAATTCTTGGAACATACAGGGGTATGTGTCTTGCCATAAAGCCTTGATACTTGCTGTTTTCTCTATCTGGAATATCCTGCTCTCTTGCCCGTACCCTGACCAATCAAGCATAATTGA